TATTCTGACTGAGGTTTTCTGTATCTTGAATCTGTGAATTTATTCTGACTGAGGTTTTCTGTGTCTTGAATCTGTAAATTTATAGTTCTCATCAAATTTGGAAAATACCCAATAGTCCCCGGAACATATTTTATGCCCCTTCCGATTCTTTTCATAAAATACCGTAGTTCTAAATATGTAGTGCTTCGTATTGTTTCACAAGTCACTAATGCTATGCTTTTTTTTTTTTTCTTTTTGAGACGGCATCTCAATATACAGTTCAGGCTGACCTTGAAGTCACTCTGTAGTCCAAGCTGGTCTTGAACTTGCAATGATCCTTCTGCCTCAACCTCTTGAGTACTGAGATTACAAGCATGCACTACCATGCCAGGTAGCTATGCTCATTTTTATTTTTTACTTTATTTTAAAGAGAATAAAACAAAAAAAAAACAGAACAAAGGCAATCAAAACAAAATAGTGAAAATGATACAGAATTTCACAACAAGGTAATAAGAAATCAACAATGACTAACATAATGTCTACTGCTGTGTTCAAAACAGCTGCCCATGCCATTAGACATAATAAAATCAAACAAAATAGAACAGAATAAAACCAATCCAAACAAATCAATGAAAGTGATACAGGACTTTAAAACACAATAATAGGAAATCAACAATGGCTACCATAATATATCTTGCTATTTTTGAAATAGCTTCCCATGCCATCAGATATAATAAAATCAAACAAAACAGAATAAAACCTAACAAAACAATGAAAATGATATGAGATTTTAAAGCAAGATAATAGGGAATTAACAATAGCTACCACCTTCAGAAGAAAATTCCCTAGAGTTGCTATATGTCATATCGTTATCTTCTAAATAGATACTTAGACTACCAGTTTAGGGCCTGAAAGTCAATCAAACAATACCGGCATTAAACTGTTTATTTACTTCAGTGGCTGTCATCTCAGCCTGTGTTTCTCTGAATCAGTCAGTTGCTTATGGGGGAGGAGGAAGTCGAGGTGTTGGTACTTCTATCTCCCAGCTTGTGCACTGGCTGGCTCACAGGAAGAGGTTAGCTTCTTTTTCATTCTTTTCCCAGGATGCACAGCTGCTGCTGGCTCACAGAAAGGGGTTGACTTCTTGGTTCTTCTTTTCCCAGGATGCATGGTTGCTGCTGGCTTGCAGGAAGGGACTGATCTAGCCTACAATTGCTGCTGGCTCTCTGGAAGAAGTTAATTTCTTCTTGGTTCTCCTCCAGGGATACATGGCTGCCACTGGCTCACAGGAAGGATTTGGCCCAGCCCCACTATGCTCATTTTAAAAAATAAATTTAGGGAAAATTCTCATAATGTAAGAATTCCAAATTGTACAACTCTGATACTTAGTATATTTATAATATTATGCAAGCAGTACCTCACCTAGTCCCAAAATATTTTTAATAACTAAAAAAGGAACCCCCACAACCTATATTAAATATTTACTCCTGATTGTCCCCCTCATCAATCTTCTGTTTCTACTGATCTTTCTATTCTGCATGTTTCATAAAGTGAAAGTATGAGCTATATGCCCAGCCTTTTTTTAAAATTTTTTACAGTATTTTGAGACAGGGTATTGTTAGATGCTAAATCTTCCAGCCTAGGTTTGAACTGTGATGCTCCTGCCTCAGCCTCCCAGAGTGCTGGGATTATAGGTTTGTACCACTATACCTTTTATGATCTTTTTTGTCTTATTTGTTTTACTCAGAATATTGTTTTCAAATTTTACATACATCGTGGAATAGAAAATGCTTCATTTTTATGACTGAATAAGGTCAATCCTTTTCTTTATTCTATAAAATACTGTGTAGCTTTAAGTTTAGTAACCACTTTGACATGTTCTATACAATGCTAATTCCATCCAATTTACTCATTTAATTATATATATATCCTACTATTCATCTTGATAAATTACCATGATATATATATCATGATACTGTATATGATATATCTGTATTACTACCATATATATATATATATATATATATATATATATAATTACCATCACATACAAAAAATTAGTTTTACCATTTGTATTTTTCTCCTGAATTTCTGATTTCTTCATTTCCTAAAGAGCACAACATTTCCTAAAGAGCACAAAGCTGGGCTGCAGTTTCAGAAAGTTTTGCTTTACTTTAGGGGATCAATTCTATCAGGTTCCCATAGTACAAATGTGATTAGATTATACGAGGGCTCTTTCTTGCTTATTTCCACTGCTGGATACTAAGCAAAGTCTAGGATTAAAGAAAGGAAAACTGCCTAACTGAAACATTTGTTTGGATTTTAGGTTCTTAAGATTCTAATCTATTTTTCTAGACTACCCTATTACTAATAATACAGATGCCTTCTCATCTCTAAAAACTGTCTCAATCTGAGTAATACACTTCCACCCAGGTCAGGCCCATACTCTCAGCTACAGAAGTCTCAGAAATTTTCTGCTGAACCATGAGAGCCCATTTCCTGTGGAGCTTAGCACCCAAAAAGTATTAAATTGCACCCTAGGATATGCTTTTTATTTTATTTCACTTCACTTTTTTCTGCTTCTATAACATCCTTTTATATCCTACTATCCATCTTTAATAATTCACTTTCAAAGTATTTTACATAAGAAATACTCTATAATGGTTTGGAAATTAAAAAACCCAAACAATAAAATATCTGGACCTTCACCATAGATGGATTGCCTTGAAGGATGTTTCGTTTCACTGGGATAAGGTTAACCTCTAAGCAAAGGGTCCTCCTCCAGGAAGGAAGTTTAGACTATGCTCCAATATTCTTCTCAAGTGATTGAGATATTAATTAATGATCATTCATTTCTTAAATAGCCCTCTTGACTAAGGATTAGCATGAATGTTTTCAGTAATGGCATGGAGTGCCATGTACACATAAAATCAATACGCTCTATATTGCTTTAGATTAACACAAGGGGGGAAATTCAATGTTTAGATTCTGGACACAGGTTGTATTTGTTTAAGTTCCAATTTCAGTGCTTAAGAGTTACTTAACTTTTAACATAGTTTTCATAATTTCTCAGAGTTTCAGGTACTTTACTAGAAAAACTGATATGAAAATCCTATCTTATAGTAGTTTAGACTAAGAGTATGTAGTAAAAGATTATCCCTTCTTACCAGAGAAGGACAGAAATAAGGTCTAAAAGGGATATTATTTCAGAAATACCTGCTTTGCTTTTTAAAGCAGTTATACTAAGAAAAGAGTAGAATGAAAAAATGGTTTAGGTGAATTAATCATTATTAATATACTCATTTTAAATTTTACATTACTTACATATTTACATACATATTACTTACATATACACATTTTTGGTTTCACATGCAGGTTAACCATAACTCTCAGTTCATGCACCTTAGCTCATTTTATTTTATTCATTCTCTTATATTCTTATTTTTCTTGCCCCTCTTCTCTCCTTCCCTTTGGCAACCATTTTAACGTGTTTCATGAGTGTTTATGGTTTTATGTGTTCTTCTAGAATGTGCACTGATATTTTGTTTGCATCAATTTTCATTCATGTAAATGAAACTGAGTTATCTATTTTATTCACTTTGATCTATCTATAACATGTAGCTATGCATATATCTAATCTACTCTAATTAGATGCCTGAATAGTTGTTCAGATGATTCAAGGTGATAGCTTTTTTTTTTTTGTAAAGAAGATAAAACCAAGGAAAATAAAACCAATTAAAAAAAAACAGTATAAGTGATACAGGATTCCAAAACCTTACGAAACCAACAATAGTTACCATTAATGCCTTTTGTTGTCTTCAAAATAGCTGCAGATACTTCCATAATAAAAAATGAACAGAACAGAATAGAAAAGAAACAATAAAGCCACAACAGTGAATGCAGTAAAGGACTTCAAGCCACTAGTAAACCCATAATGGCTACCATAATATGTTTTGTTACCTTTCAAATAGCTGCTCCTTCCATCAGATTTAACATAATCAAACAAAACAAACGAGAATAAAACCCAACCCAACAAAACAATGAAAATAGTATAGTTTCTCAGCTAGGATCACTTCCTGGTAAGGCCTAGATCTCTCCCCCATGCAGTCCAGCAATAGCACTGACTCGCTGAAGGTAATTGCTTTTAATAATTGCAAAATGTTCTGTCAAGTTATATTTTATATTTTTATTATTCATTAATCATACTAAATGTAGGTTATTTCAAAAGTTTAAGAATTATGATAGCCGGGTAAGGTGGTACATGCCGGTAATTTCAGCATTTAGGAGGCTGAGGAAGAGGATCACTGAGAATTCGAGACCAGCCTAGGCTACATGGTTAGTTCAAGGCCAGCCTGAACTACATAGCAAGATCCTGTCCTTCCCCCAAAAAAAAGAAAAAGAAAAAATTATGCTAAATTGGTCATAATTTGTTCTTTTGCTGAATAATTTCCTCAATGTAATTTTTTAAAACTGTAAAAGCAAAACCCCACTAAAATCTTTTGAATGTACTGTGTGATAAATTTTAAGTTTAAAATTACTACAACTATATTAAAATTATTCATCAATTCAACAAAATAACAAACAGGACCAGGGATGTAGCTCAGCAACACAAGTGCCTGTCTGGAAAGTGCAAGGTCCTGAGTTCTTGGTACCAAAAATAAATCATAACAAAACCAATCCCCCCAAAACAAAAAAAACCATAGTTAAATTTAACACAATTAAAACCAATTAGAATTAATACTCTTGGGCAATAATTGTGTCAGTATCTTTTGTATATATAAGTAACTGAAAGTTAAAAATCCCAAATAAATTTACTTGAAAACAGAAGACATACAATGATAAAGATCCAGAAAGGATATAATTTTTTCCTGTGGACTTTTAGACAGTGAAAGCTTTAAAAAACCCATCAATGTAATTAGTTTAAAAACACAGCCTTTTCATTACAGGTTACAGAAATATGAGTTCTTTAACTTTATCATGCAAAAGAACTTTAAAATAAACACAGTTAAAGATCTACTTACCAGGACTGCCCCCATCTTTAGCATTGCCATTTCTGGGTCCCAACGGAGAAAATAATGGAAAGAGAGAATCTGTGAACCAGCCATCCGGTTTAAAATAATTATCACTCTTTTTGTTCTTTTTGAAATAACTAAAACGCAAATAATATTTTACCTACAAAGAGCAATAAACAAAAATATTCATAAAGCAAAATAATTAGGCAAAAATCAGGAACAAAAGTAAGTTAAATGTTACTGGGAATATGATTCTGAGAACAGACTGACCAGTCTCAAAGAAGATTCCAGACAACAGGAAATAAGAGCAAACCTGCCATAAGGCCTTATCATATGTTGGATCCCTTTACTCTTAACTTTGTCTCCCTAAATCTGTCCTCTCTTAAGCTGGTTCTCTTAGGCACTTTCTTGTCACTGGACAAAACACCTGAAACTCAAAACTAAAGGAAGAGAGGTTTATTTTGGCTCATGTTCTTAGTCATTATTGGCTGACTCCACCAGAGGTGCCTGGCAGAGGAAAATTACATCATCGCAGCTGGGAAACAGAGCACTAAAGTGTCAGTAACACTTGGATATACACCATGGGTTTGCAGAAGAGAAACACTGGCAACTTTGTACATGATTGTAAATGTACTTTTCCCTAGAAAGACAGCTGGTATACATACTCCGATGAAGCATCCCAAAAGACATTATTAATTTCTCTTCCCATTATGTAAGGCAAGCATTCTGAAAGAAAGCTCTCTTCCTCTCCTGAAAATGATTCTTGCAACATATGAAAGAATCTTGTATGAATACAGAGGAGAAACGTGATAAGATGTAAACTCGGATGATTGCATAGTATTATTTAATGAGAAATAATACTGGAGAATTGAATAAACTTCAAGGTAAATCATTCTGAAACAACAAGTGGACCAAAAGTTACTAAAGGACAAGGGTCAGACCACAAAAATCAGTAACATCAGCTGGAGTAGGTAAACATGTAGGTGGTATAAGAATTCATCTATTCAATTATCAAAATAAAAGCTGTAGGAACTTATTACATGCTCAAAGACCCTGTTCTACAAGGAGCTCAAATCTTATGTTGAGGAAACATAAATATTTGAGGAAAATCTTATGTTGAGGAAACATAAATATTTAAATTAAGTACAAATTCAGTGATAGATACATGTTTAGTATATTTATGGGAGAATTAAAAAAAGAGCAGTGTGCATAGTCAGGAGAGACAATATAGAATCACAGCATTAATTAATTGTAAAGGGTAAGAATGATTCAGGTAAGAGGGGTAAGGGAGATGGACACTACACAAAGGCAGAAAAAATGAAGTACCGAAACTGTACCGAACACATTTTGACTACGCTTGAAATACACTGCCTACATTAGCACAGCCCACATCAGTAAGGAACCTGAGGGATGTTGACACATATGAAAGTACTGAGGACATGTCAGGACAGAATAGAGATACCCACAATTCTACTTACGACCAGGAGTCTTCAATCCCTTTTTCAATTGAAAACTGTCTGTTTTCTCCTTTGGTCATTTCTCTCAACATCAAAAACACTAAGTTCAGAACACTATTTCTCCTCCTTGAGTTACCAGAATATTTCTCAGATTTGCACATGTCCTAAGCCTTAAGAGCTATTTTGGATTTTCTGTATTACAAGGAAAATTATGAGCTTCACTCAAAAGAGAGAAAATTTTTCATGCTGTGTGGTGAAGAGATGTATCAGCTTTATCACATCAAATGTTCTGACCAGGGAATGTATCTTTACTTCAGCATCATCTTCAGGGCTAGAGATGGGTGTAATGTCAGATACAGTAGCAAAGTTAATATCCTTAACTATCAGTGCTCCCTGTAAAGACCTCATAGGTGACAAATACTATTGTAGTCTCATCAACTGTGAAGTTAGTGAAATGAACATTAGTTAGTTACATTTGGATTTAAGCCTCTGCCATGTACAAACGGCATAAGCTCAGGCAAGTTAGAGTCTCCACTTATTAAATAAAATAATGGTACCTCTACTTCATTAAACACCAGAATACTGAAATTATGAAGTTTATACATAAAACTTTCTCACCTTAAGTGGCAGAGTATCACTGTTACTTTGGAAATCATGGTCAAAAACAATAGCAGCCAGAACCTTTTCAGAGTTATTAATTTGTTTAACGTAATTATCAAACTTGCTTTCCGAAGAAAAGCCTACAACTGTAGAGATAGAAAAATTTAATTTATGGATTGATTACATAAAGGTAAATTGTATTATAGCCCTTCCTATCTGTAAGCTGGCAACGTGGATGAATGGCTATAAACATAAATGTCAAAACATTGTTTTGTAAACATTTGCACAATAAACCAATAGATATTAGGAGTAGATAGAGATTTTTAGTTTTAAAATTTTAATTACAAGTTTGAAAAAATAATAAAATATCTATTGAAGGAAGATAAGGGCTGATGATGCTCCAGTGTTTTAAAATTCCCACTTTGTGGCCAATAAATACATGAAAAAAATGTTTATCATCACTGGCCATCAGAGATATACAAATTCAAACTACACAGAGGTACCATTTTACCCCAGGAAGATGGCTATCAACAAAAAATCTAATAATAAGAAATTCTGATGGGGGATATGAGGGATAAGGGAACCAATCTACAGTGTTGGTGGGCAATATAAACAAAGACAACTACTATAGATGTTAAGTGTGGAAATAAACTAAAAAGAGAAATTCATTTGACCTAGCTACCTTTTAGGTATCTTCCTAAAAGAGGTAAAATAATATTACAGGGAAACATGCATACTATGTATAAAGCAGCACAATGTATAATAGCTAGATTTTAGAAATAGTGTATTTATAAACAGATGAATGCTTAAGGAAAATGTAGTGCTTATACATAATGGAGTACTATGCTGTTATAAAGAAAGATACCCTTGAGGTATTCATGGGTAAATGGATACAACTAGAAAACATCTTGTTAAGTAAAATAAGTTAGACACACAAGCGTAAATATTGCATAGTTTCTCTAATATGAGAAACACAATATATATAAACAAAGAGCAAATAGAAGAGCTCTAAGTAGAAAGTACGAAGAAGTTCAAATAGTTCCCCAAAATAAAAATTTCACTGTTTCAAAAATTTTTCAACATATACGCTAATATAAACTACTAGTTTATTTTAGTTCATTGAAAAGAAAGTTTTGTGTTATTATGCTTCATTTTTGTAAAAATCTTTCTGGTTTATGTCTTGTACACTGAGTAATTAGTTGGAACATAATGATATACAATGTAGTAGCTACTGTTATTCTCTTACTTGATTATGACATTTTATTTTTTCATAAAATAAAAAAATTAAATTTCCATTCTGAAGGGAAATTAGAAAACTGATCCATTCAATCCATTCAAACTTCTAAACCATAAAACTCTCTAATATGTTTATCAAAAATACCCACAAGTTGGAGGATGAAGCCACTTTATGATTTCAACATTTGAAGAAATAACATTTCTGTATTTCAGATGACCAATCAATGAATTTGGCCTACAAATTTAACTTAACTGATATTAGAAAAGACAATATTTGTACCTTTCTAAATCAAAAGAGCCATTTAAGATATGCATGTGTGCAACCATATATATTAAAGATTTTCTTAGAATTAAACATACGTTTGATGTGAACAGAATATCAAGATTTAACTCAAGGATGATAATGAAGTTCTATGCAGTTTTATTCCTAATATTTAAATGAGTTGTTTGGCACAGTTTTTCCTCTAGCAAAATTCCAAATGACCTGATTCAAGCTTCCAAAAAAGAGTAACTGTTGATGGTGCCATCATCCTTAACCAAAGGTACTATTTCATGCTTTCAAAGCCCCTATCCCAAGGTATGTTCTTGTCACTTTGTTTCCAAAGTATCACTGTATCTGTATATCACAAAGACTAAGGTAAAGTCAATTCTCTTAGCTGCTTTGTTCCACTTGTACTTTGCAAACACATCTATAAACAATACCAACAGCACTGAACTCCAAAGAATTATCATCCGGTTTAGACAATGTCTTTTCTGTCTAGGAAACATGGGATCTTGGTATGTTTCACTTTAAAACATCTGCATTTTGGTGAACATAGTAGTTGCGCACCTGCATGACATTTGCATAAAATGAGTCACTCTTATCTTTTCATTATACAAAGAAATGGTTTCACTCAAGGGAAATAAACATTGAGGTCAGACTGTAGAACAGGTTAATTCTGGGGCTCTTGAGCCAATGTTTAGTTTGGGAAGTAACAATTCATTCATGATTTATCTTCAAGGAATATACTTCAGGTACCACTAGAAGGATCAAGCCCCCTTGACTACTTTTGTTGATCAAAATTTATAATTATGACAGTTAAGTTGAAGTGACAACTTGACTGGCACGGGAGTCACCTATAGAATTAATAAAGTACACTTTTGGGTATGTACGAGCAGGTCATGGAGATGTGACTTTGGGTAATATAACTGGTCCCCAGCCTCTTCTTTGGTGCTGCTACCCTGCTTTCATTCCCAAGTGTCATAAAATTGACAGATTTGTCTATCACACTTTTCTGTCATGGTGTTTCTGCCTTAGAGTCAGCCAATCACTAAGTAAACCTCTGAAACTCTGGGCCAAATTAAACTTCTCCTTTAAGTTACAGCTATAGGTTATTTTCTTCCAGTGATGGAAGGGCTGACCAATATAATAACCACTTTCCAAAGTTAGTATTTGACTGATAAGAGTGGTGGTTTTTTATCATTGTATGAATCACAGAATCTTTAGCTTTAAAAGTGACTACATAGGATCAGATTGTACTTGTACAGTGTTCTTATCTAAAAGACATTCATTAGTTTCAAGTTAGTTCAGCCTTATGATGGTTAAATGTCTATTGGGATTGTCATCAAAACATGCTGAGATATTGCTAGTGGCAAAGAAATTAAGTTGAGGGATCATAATTATTGTTTTGGCAAAGAAATACTAGGTAGGTAGCAACTGGGTCTCAGTTTGTGGTGATATTCAGCAGAGGAGGTTGTTGACACACCAGGAAGCTATGGTTACTATAATAATAAATGCTAGTGTTTTCAGAGTATGGGAAAGTGGGATACATTCGTTTGCTGCTATGCAGCCACAAAGGTCTTCAAACATGAGGTCATTTTACACTGTAGTCACTTGATATTTAAAATCACTTTTCCATTCTCTTGTTATCCTTTCAAGCTTACATTCAAGTTATTTATCAGTTCAACAACTCTTCAAGTTCTTTAACTCATTTGTCTCTACCACCTTCCTTCCTAGTGACCTGATGTGTACATATTTCTAGGCTTCAAATATCTTTCATTCCAACATATACCAAGTATTTTGGCCCCAATATGTACAGCATCGAACACATTCAAGTACCGATACACACACAACCACTTCCCTGAAGCCTAGACTAAGTACAGTTGGCCTTTTGATCACTATTATATTTAAGAAAGCAAATATATCATTCTAGTATGCTAAAGTAGCATACTAGAACTGAAACCTAGTTGGAATGAGGAGCCAGTATAAATGACAATAGCTGAGCTAGTAGTGTACACCTGAGCTCTTCTTTTCATCCCGTCAGTAGCTTCAATTAGTTATGATTCTTCTGGTATCAGAGGTTTCATTTACCATCTTCCTATTGTTGTCTCTGAACTCCTTGCATATCTAAAGTATTTCCCTAAATATTCATCTTTGAATATCACTAACAATGTTCACTTGGGAAGAGGGGCAAAAAGCCTAGGCATTATTAGCTGCCTGAGTCCTGGAGTTCTAACTCCACCCAACCAGGTGTAAGGCCCCAGAACCACACTCTGGGGGTTGTGACCTTGCTAGCTGCATGGAGGATCTGAGCTTTGCCCAGCCCAGCGTCCCAGTTCAATCCACCAGGGGATGTTCAGACAGCCCCACAGACCACAGATATACCAAGCCCACCCCAGCCCAGAGCCCTAGAGCTGCCCATCAGTGAGCAACAAGCCTAACCAACAGGTCTTGGAGAATTTGAGCTCTGCCCATCAGAGCACAAGGCCCCAGCTTCATAGTTCAGGGATGCAGCCCAGCTAGCCACTTGGTGGGTCCCAGAGGTTCTGAACTCTGTCCAACCAGAAGCAAGGTCCTGGAAACATACATTGGGGAGTGCACTCTGGCTAGCATTGCAGTCCAGAGGCTCTGAACTCCTCCCAGCCAGATGCAAGGCTCTAGTGGCACCACATTCTGGGGGGATGCTCTGCCTAGCCACCTGGTCCTGGAGGTTCTGAACTACACCCATCCAGGCCAAGGCCCCAGTGCCACACTCCAGGGGTGCATTCCTGCTAGATGTCTGGGTTGCAGAGGTTCCGAATGCCATCAGCCAGGTGCTAGGACCCAGTGACACACTCTGGGGGTGCACCCCTGCTCTCTGCACAGAGCTCTGCCCAGCCCTGCATCCACAGCAACCCAGTACAGAACATCAGGGGAACATCTGGCTAGCCTCACAGGCTATAGAGCACAAGTTTCTGGTGCAACAGTTCAGGGATGTACCCCAGCTAGCCATGGGAATATCAGAGGATTGAAGCTCTGCTCAGTGCAGCATTCCAGTGCCATCCATCAGGAGGGTGCCTAGCCAGCCCCATGGGTCCCAGAGAAAAATGACAAAATGAAAGAGCAAGATGGAGTCTCAGTCCTCCAGCCCACCAAGAACAAATCCAAAAGATGCTGAAATGGAAGACACTGGAAATCACACAACTGGACTTTCTGAAATGGTAGCAACTGAAGCAAAGAAACAAATGAAGCTGTAGAGGAAATCAGATCAGAAATAATCTCTCAGGTAAAAAATGAAATGACAAATGCTATGAAAGAAATGTACGTATCTAAAGAAGATCTACATTAAAAAATAGAGGAACATAAGAAAATGATGGAAACTCTGAACAATATAAGATAGAATTAGAATTTATGGAACAAATTCAAAGGGATTATCAGGAAATTAAAAATTCCACTGAAAGCTGGCAAAACTACTTGAATGAGCTGAAGATCAACTCTCAGACCTGGAAGACAGGATGAAAGCTTATGATCATGAAAGAAAAGATCTCTTAAAAATATCAAGGAACCATGAAACAACAATTCAACAGCTGTAAAATGATGCAAAGAGAAACAATGTAAGAATGATAGGTGTCAGCAAAAAAGCAGGAGTCACCACAAATGACATATGAAGACTATTTACAAAAATAATAGCAGAAAATTTTCCAAACATGGGAAGAAAATCTGACATGCAGGTAAGTGAGGCATATAGAACCCAATTAACCATAACCAAACTAAATATTTACCCAGACATATAATTATGATATCAGAAATTCAGCACAAAGGAATTGAAATAATCCCATGCATATTACCTGACCTAAGGGCAATAAAATTGGAAATTAATGACAAAAACCCCACAAGAATCCCATAAACACATGGAAGTTAAATAACACTCTCCTAAACAACCAATGGGCCACAAAAGAAATTAAAGAAGAAACTAAACAATATCTATAATTGAACAAAAATGCAAATACAAATTACTGGAACTTGTGGGACACAATGAAAGCAATCCTCAGAGGGAAATAAATAGCACTAAACTTCCACATCAGGCAAATGGAATGAACACAAATAAACAACCTAATGCCGCACCTCAAATTTCTAGAAAAAGAAAAGCAAGTCAAGCCCAAAGCCCAAAGAATGGAGGAAATTATAAAATCAGAGCAGAAATTAATGCAATTGAAACTAAGAAAACAATACAAAGAATTAATGAATCAAAGAATTGGTTGTTTGAAAGAATAAATAAATTGATAAACCCCTAACCAACCTTATCAAAAAGAGGAAAGGAAACACTCACATCCATGCAATAAAAAATGAAAAGGGTGAAATCACTACAGACCCTGGGGAAATACAGAAGATCATCAATACTGACTTTGAAAACTTTTACTCTCATAGGTTCAATAACACAGAAGAAATGTTTGGATTCCTAGAAATGTATGAATTACCAAGATGTAAAATTGCTGAATAACCAAATTTCAGTTAATGAAATTGAAAATGTAATTAGAACCTTACCAACAAAGAAAAGCCCAGGTCCTGATGGATTCACTGCTGAATTCTACAAGAAATTTAGGGAAGACAATGCCAACACTCCTCAAACTCTTCAATGAAATTGAAAGGGAAGCAAGTCTTCCTAACCCATTCCTAGAAGCAAATACCCTAATACCAAAACTAGAGAAAAACCCAACCAGAAAAAGAAAATTACAGGCCAGTCTCTTTAATGAACATCAATGCAAAAATCCTCAATAAAATACTGGTAAATAGAATTCAACAAGTCATCAAGAAGATTATACAACACGATCAAGTGGCATTCATGGGGAATGCAGTAGGGGTTCAACGTATGCAGATCAATAAACATAATACACCATATCAACAGAGCCAAGGACAAGAATCACATGATCATTTCAATAGATGCAGAAAAGGATTTTTGACAAAATCCAACACTTATTCATGATAAAACCCCACAGAAAATTAGAATAGATGGTCTCTACCTCAATCTGATAAAAGCCATATATGATAAATCAATAGCCAACATCTTACTAAATGGACAAAACCTGAAAACTTTCACTGTAAAATCAGAAACAAGACAAGGATGTCCATTATTACCACTCCTACTCAATATAGTTCTGGAAACATTAGCCAGAGAAATTAGACAAGATAGAGAAATAAAAGGAATAAGGATAGGAAAGGAAGAAGTTAAATTATCATTATTTGCAAATGATATGACACTCTACATAGAAGGCCCCCAAAACTCCATTGAAAGACTTCTAGATGTAATAATCAAATACAGTAATGCAGCTGGATACAAGGTCAATGTTTGGAAGTCAAGCAACACACTTCTAAGAATTCTAGAATTTCATTCATTAAAGAAGAATGGAAATTAAATATTTTGGATAACCCAAAGTCATTGATAACTGTTTGTTGGTATATTTGCATTGCATACTTCAAAAATTATTAAGCAAATCTGCATCATTCTGTTTCAGTATTTATTTTAAATTAGAAACATCCTGAGACAGTATCTATATATACTCTAGGACTTTCAAATCCCTTGAGGCAAAAAATTGAAAAAAATACATGACTGAATGGTGTTATATGTGTATGCACATATGTGTGTTTATATAATGGAGAATGTCACTAGAAAGATGCCCACAAAACTATTGACAGTGTTTATGTTTGAGAGAAAGAGAGAAATTGGGCTGAGAAAGTGAAGAATTAGAAATTCTTAAATTAATCTTGCCCATCTTTCTAAAGCACTTTGCTATGGCTGAGTTTGAGTATGTTGCCCAAAGGTTCATATTTGAAGCTTGCTCCTCAGTATGGTGATGTGAAGGTGGTGGAATCTTTATGGGTGGGCTTAGTGTAATTAGTTTACTAGTTGGTTCCCATGAGAGTGGGTTGTTATAAAGAGTGGGCCTGTCCCTGAATCTATTTACTTTCTGTTTCTCCATGTGCTCCATTCACGTCAAGTGTGCTTCTACCACTCATTAAATGTAGCCAAGGAGACCTTCACTGGATATTAAACAAATGCCCCCCACCTTGTTGGGATTTTTAGTCTCCAAAACTGTATGCTAAGTAAGTCTGTTTTCTTTTTTAGATTACTAACCCTGTTATTTTGTTATAATAACCTGAAACAGACTAATACATGGTCTATGATGGGTATAATACATTACATGAACAATGTTTTAAATAACTCACTACTGAATATGCATTTAGAATAATGGCTTGTCCTAATCCTGTATTTTTGTGTAATTGTTGTATACTATCATATGCCCTGAAGTCATACTTACACAGATTCTGAAAAAACAACAAGAAACAAAAACTTACTTAACACTATTTGTTCTGGACTCTTTAAGGAAAAATTTTTTAAATGAATTTAACTCTTGATTTTAACAGAGTTTACAATATGGTTCTTATGACATTAATATTTGGTTATATGGATATCCTACAGTGTTTTACATGGAAGATAACTATCTAGTTAAAAGTATTATACGTATGTCTTTGCTAAAACAATTTAATAATATTTGTTTTCAGAAAATTTTTATTTCTAACCTTGCATATTGGTGTTTAAGTCCTTTTTAACATTTGCAACAATATTCTGTACCACAGTACTGTTGGAAGGCACGTAAGCCAGTTCCCAAGGATAAGGAAAAGTGACAGGTGCTCCAATGAATGAAGGTGTATGATTAACAGGAAAAGCAGTAAAACTGAAGGGTCCAATCTTCTTCATAAAAAGAACATTGCGTAGTCCCAAAAGTGAAATACCAAACAGAACTGTTAAGAGTATCTCCATAACTAAGCTCATATATTTCCGCCTCTAGAAGGGTTAACAAAAAGGATTATATTAACTTTCCTGTTATTAAATATACAAATGGCTAATAACTTTATATTCACAACTACTTCATAAGGAAAACATAAATGGTCAATAAACAGTTTCACTTTGGTAGTAGCAATTTCATGAACTTTTTCTCCTTTCTGTGTGACTCTGTACTATTATTTCATTCCTTGGAGTCTGTGTCTAGAGCAGATAGCCACAACCCCAGAAATGAAAAAAATAAAACAACATAAATTAAAATGAAGTGCTCAGCTGTCAGAATTTTCCCTGGTGGCCTCTGAACTATTGAAATATATATAATTCAATATATATATAAAGTGTATATACATACACATATATTTATGCACTTATATATTTTATATATATAATTCATCTTACCTTTAAAGTGAAATTCTTCCAGAGAAGAGCCGTAAGCTTTTTGAACTCCAACGAAGTCATTCTAAAAAGAGTGTAAGTTGAACTCTACAGAGGAAGTAGTTTTAAAAATAAAATAAAGATTACCTAACAACACCTAGATTTACATGAATAAATTACTTAAATTAGTGTTCTAATTGAACTTTAAAAGTGACAATAAAAAAGAATAAACATTTGAAATATTTGAGTTGCTTACTACTATATTTATTTTTAGTTTATTCAACATCTAGAGATCTTAACATGTACAAGCACTAAATAAATTATCAGTAATTTGTTGATTCAAGTTTCTAGGTATGGAAGTAACTGTCATCAGTAACACTACCAAGGAACATAGATTTGCTGTGGATCTTAGGAGGTAATTAGAATGGGATTTGTGCCCTTAGAAAAGAAGTCTCAGAGGGATCCTGCATCACTTTTGCCCATAGAGCACAAAAAAAGACATTTATTTATTTATTTATTTATTTTTGGTATGGGGAATTGACCTCAGGACTTCATGAGTGACATGCAGGTGTTGTAGCACTGAGCTATATCCCTGGCATTGTTTTGGCATTGAGGACATTCTAAAAAGAATATAAGTTGAATGACATTCTCCCTTCAGGGTTTTAGCCTCCCCACCACTCCAGGCATAGAGAGAAGATGCTGGAGAGAAACTGGGTCTGCAGCAGCTGGGATCCACAAGTAGAGAGAAACAGATGGCAAATAGTCTGCACCAGCCTCCTTCTCAACCCTGAAAGCAGTGAAATCTGGGCTTGCTGAAGTGCAACCAGAGCTTGGAATTGAGACCAAGAGAGGATGGAGCACACTATACTACAATGTTCTTTTTTTCTTTCTCATCTTCCATTTACATTCCCTTTCCTTCTCTGCTCTTTTTACTTTTTTTATACTTCCCTCTTTCAATTTTCTTCTATTAAATTTTTTATATTTTTCCTTTTTTCTGTCCCCTTTTCTCTATATTTACTATTTGAAATATTCTGAATGTCATTTATGCTCATTTTTTTCTAGCTTACTATATTGTACTATTCTGTTTTGAGTTAGTGAAATAGTACAGATGATTTATTTTGCTTTTTGAGACAGGATCTGATATGAAATTTGGGCTGGGCTTGAACTCAATATGCAGCCAAGGCTGGACTCAAATGTGTAATTCTCTGCCTCAGCCTCTTGAGTGTTGGGGTTTCAGATATGTGCCACCATGTCCAGTTAGCAGAGATATTTTGAATCAAGTTCTTAAGTACCAGATGATCTGTGGGTAGCTACACAAGTGTTTACTAGTTGTTACTGTATTCTGTCCTCTAAAAGCAGTGCTGGGGGCAGAACACTAAGTGGTAACTTTCATATGGAGATGTATCTATAATCCAAGGAACATTACAAGGAAAAATTCACTTTAAAAAAACAAAAACAAATATCATACAAAAGTGGAAAACACATTCTAGTTAACTCATCTATAAACCTCAACAAAGAAACACAACTAAAAAAAAGAGGGTATATTAGCGAAATTGCCCATCACTGGGATACAATATTCAATACCTACAATTTAAAGGAAGAAAGATTTAATTTGGCTCACAGTTTCAAGAAATTCAGCCCATGGTCATCTTGCTCGAAGGCAGAAACATCATGGTAGATATGGTGGACCAAACATGATTAGTTCATGGTGGCCAAGAAGTAAAGGAGGTAGGGTCAGAAGACCAGATAGACTCCAGAATCATATCTCCATGATTAATCCAAATACATCTGAAAGTGTCCTTTATAATCCCCTTAGCAGCTCCCAAGCTAATCAAGTTAACATAATGAAACTTAACCCTTTCTAACCCTTAACTCGACTATCCCTTAACTATTTCTTTCTACCCCTTTTCTACCCCTTAACTCGACAAACAAAACACATCTCCTTAGAACACACAATTTCCAAATAAACACAATGATACTGTACCTAACATAGCTATTCTATGTACAACAGAGGGTACAATAGTCCTTTTCCCAGTCGCAACAGTTCCAGCATTTTTCAAAAATCCAAGTGAGAATCTCTTCTGAGACTCAAGCCAAACTTTTAGCTGTGAATTTCTGTGAAAATAGAAAACAAATTACATAATCTCAAAGTACGATGCCACAGAGTCAACATTCTCATTCCAAAAGAGAAAATAGAGAAATAGAAAAGAATAGGACCAAAGCAAAACTGAAACCCAATGAAGCAAATATTGAGTCCTGTAGCTCCATGTCTGGCAAAACAACTTTCTCTGGTACCAATTTTCTGTATTCATCATTTTTCCTGTTGTGGGGACATGATATCCAACACTCTCTTCAAGGAGGAGATGTTTACAGGGGATTCAATCCATGTTCACCTGGCTCCAAGGCAGAAATGTCATGATGGAAGAGTGTGGTGGAGCAAAGATACAAGCTTAGTTCATTATGATCAGGAAGCAGGGCAAGGAAAAGGTGAAGGACCAGATACAGGTTCCAAGGTCACACCTTTATGAATCACCCAGACATACAAAGTAGCATGTTTTACTAATCACTTGGCAGTTCCCAAGCTAATCAAATTGACGCAATTGAGTGCAATCATTACATAAGACAAAAGATACCACCAAAAATAAATACTACCAAAAAGTTGATCCTGCTTATACCAAAGTGAATGAAATTCCAATTTTTAAAATTGATAGTTAAAATAACCAAAAGATCATAAAAGGTACAAATAAGCAGCTAAATCAATTGAAAATAACAACATAGGATATGAAAGGTGATTCAGCAAAGAGATACATGTTGTGGGGGAAAAAAACCCAAGCAGAATTCCTGGAAAAGAAACCTCAACAAGTCAAATAAAAATCTAACTGAAAGTCTAAGCAGTATACAAGATGAATCAGAAAAAAGAATATTAAGGCTTGAAAACAAGGTGAAAGTGTTAGAACATTTAAATAGAATCAAACAAAAAAGTAGGAACCACTAAACAGAGAAAGCAAGAGTTCTTGAGTAAATCTAAAAAAAAAAAACACAAAAACTGAAGGCTCATTAGAGTAGAAAAGGGCACTAAGATACAGTCCATCAAGGAGAACAATATACAATATAGTAACCACTGTTAATTTCCTATCATCTTGTTTTGAAATCCTGTATCATTTTTATTGTGTTTTCTTTTAATTTATTTAAAATAAATAAACTAGAAAAAAAAGATATAGTCCAATGGCTCAAACATCTAGTCACTGAAATTACTGACTAAAATTTCCTAAATCTAGGGAATTAGATGGATATTCAGGTAAAGGAGGTATTTAAAACACCAAATAGACAGGACCAGAAAAGACCCTCTCCATAATACTTAGCCAAACTGTCAGAAATTAAGAAGAAAAAAGTAATGTCAAAAGCTGTAAAAGAGAAACACCAAATTACTTGTAAGGGCAAACTCATCAGAATAACAGCAGATTTCTTAACAGAAGTCTTAGAACAAAGTTTATTGAACTTGAAAAAAATTTCTAAACCAAGTTACTATATCTTGCAAAGCTAACCTTCAATACTCAATGCAAAATAAAGATCTCCCAAGGTAAGTATAAACTACAGAAATTCATGATCACTAAGACAACATTGCAGAAAATAATAAGGGAATCCTAAACACAGACCAAGAAGACAACAAACACAAATTAAAAGAAGAGTAGATAAAGGATTAAACAGCAGAAATAAATCAAACCCTTGAAAAACAGAAAATGACATGAATTAGTACATAATTTTCAGCAATAACAATGTAAATTTTAATGATTTTTTTTTGTCTTTTTGAGACAGGGTCCCACTATGCAATTCAAGGCCTTGAGCTCACTTAGTAGCCCAGGCTGGTCTCAAATTTGCAACAATCCTGCCCCAACCTTCCAAGCACTGGGATTACAGGTATGTGCCACCACACCCAGCTAATGTAAATGATTTTAACTCTCCAATTAAAACACACAGATTGGCCGGGAGAACATGGCAGACAAATAACAGCAGCCACGGAGGCTCTCTGAGACTACCAGCTTAGAATCCAGGAGTGGTGCCGTGTGAGGAGTCCTAAGTGAGGGGAGATGTACCCTGCTGACCCAGGAACGAAACTAAACTGAGAGAAACCAACTGGAAATGCAATCCTGATGCTATAACAGGAACAGATAAAATCTTAGCGCTGAAGCAGGATCCCACACCATTGGAAGCCGCGATTTGAATTTCCTGCTGCTGCTGCTGCATCCCGATCAGCACAGCAGGGAGAGAGATGCACCAAAGCTCTGAGAGCGGGAATCGCCGAACCAAACGGCATTGAGAGTGGGACTGGCAGCAAGCCCTGCATCGACCTGCAGTGAGTGAGAGAAATGGGGACCCTTTCATAGACTAGGAGGCTCCAACAGAGGACATTCTGGGAACGGGCAGACTAGCTGGAACAGGGCCCTGCAGTGACTTTAGTCGCATATTCCCCTCTCAAGCGGGAGTGGTGGGGAGCACTTGGCCTGGTGATGCCATGGACTAAGATCCAGTAGGCTAGTCCAAATCAGGTCCCTGTGCCTTGTGGTGCACCCTAGCAGTGAAGCCTTCACTAGGTTGATCTGGAGGGACGGACCCAGCAGAGGCTGCTCAGGTCTGTGTCTCCGTAGTACACTGCAGTGGGTGGGAACACCTACTCAGTGCAATTCAAACAAACTGTAACAGACAAAGAAAAAAAAACCTGGGCCTCCTACATACGCTTGTATGGAAGGAACAAAAAGCATGGGAAGAAGGAGCAACAAGAAAGGGTCCTCAGTCCCCAATCCTGAGAACACTGATCCAGGAAAGGTAAATGCAAAAGAGAATGAAGACAGAAAACATGCAATACCAGACATGGCACCAATAGACATAAAGCAGTATCTCCGGAGCCTCATAGAGGAGTTCAAAAATGAAATATTTAAGGAAATAAATTAAGAAATAAGTAGAATAGTTAGAGAAATGCTAAGCACCGCCCAAGAAAAAACAGATGGTGGAATGGAAGAACAGAAAAAAAGGGGAGAATTGTTTGATGGAGAAAATAGAGAAAACATAGAATACGTGAAGCAGGTTCAAAGAGATTACCAGGAAACTAAAAACTCTATTGAAAGCTGGCATAACAGCTTGAAAGAAACTAAGGATAGATTATCAGAACTGGAGGATAGATTTGAAATGTGGGAGCATGAAATGAAAAACTTCTTAAAAATAGTAAGAAAACAAACAGCAATAATACAAAGGCTAGAAGATGATAAGAGGATCTATAACTTAAGAATAAAGAACATAAAAGAAGTAGGGACACAAACAAATGAACTACAAAAGCTATTCACAGAAATAATCCAGGAGAATTTCCCTAATTTAGCAAAAGGTAAAGATACTTAGAAGTATGAGGCATACATGACCCCAGCCACCTACAACCCAAACAGAGCTACACCCAGGCATATAATAATCAAAATTCCAGAAATCCAATATAAGAACAGAATATTAAAAGCCATCAGAGACAAGAAACAGATCACTTATAAGGGAACACTCATCAGAATTACAGCAGACTTCTCAGCACAAACCATCAAATCACAAAGAGAGTGGGGGGAAATAATTCAAGCTTTGAAAGATAATAACCTCCAGCCAAGATTGATATATCCTGCACAACTATCCCTAGAAATTGATGGAAAAACAAGGTGCTTCCAGGATAAAGAGGAACTAGGGGAATTTGCAACCACCAATTCAACTCTACAGAGATTACTGTAGGATATTCTAAAAATGAAAAATACCAAGATTCCAAAAACAGTGGCAGAGAGGTCACAATGAATGCAGCAGAAAGCGAAATGAAGAAGACAAACTGACAATTAATGACAGAAAAAGAGCTCAACAAAAATGAGGCAGAGAAGGTTGGATGGTAGGAACAGCCATTTTGGAGAAAACAAGACATCATAATAGGTAGTGCTGATTTAATATCCTCTTGTTTTGAAGTCCCATCAAGCTTTTGTTCTTCTCTCTCCATTGGTTTTAACCTGTTGTATCTTATTGGATTTTATTATGTGTGATGATATAAACAAAAACTTTTATAGACAAAAGAGATTATAAAGAAACCATTGTTCATTTTCTGTTAGTTGATTCTAAATACCCTGTAATACTGTCATTCTCTTGAATGGTTTTACATTGTCTTGGTATGTTTGATGCTACAGTATACGAAGTTATACCCAAAGATTTTAAGGGAAGAGACACTATGGTAACTACTTTTATGTTGAGATTATCTTGTGGTGAAACACTATTTTGCTTAAATGGCTATATTTTCACCTGCACTGTTTTGTTGTTATGCCCTCTTTTTTATTTCAATCTTTTTATTATCTACTTTTTCATTTTTATCCTTTTAATTAAGGGAAAAATAAATAAAAATAGCAGGGTATATTATAGTAACCCACATTGATTTCCTATTAACTTGATTTGAAACTCTGTATTGCTCTCACCATCTTGTTTTGACTGATTTTCCTCTATTCTGCTATGCTTGGTAGTAGCAAGTTCAAAAGTATAGGCAACAACTATGAAGACAATAAGATTCGCTATCACGCCCATTCTGGTTGACTATTATCTTCTTTTGAAGTCCTCTAATGTCTCCAATGTTTTGGTTTTATTGGTCTTGTTCTTTACTGTTTTGTTCAATTTTATTATAACTGATGATATAGGCAATTCTTTTTAAGATAGCAAGAGGCATTATGGTAACCATTGTTGATCACCTTGTATTTTGTTTTTACGTCCATCCATTTGATTTGACTGACTCTGTCCTGTTATGTCACATTTGGTTTTACTTTCTTCAAAAAAAAAAGTAATAAGAACTGTGGGAGTAATAAAACCCAAAATGTGCAATTGTCATTGTACAAAAGAAAGGAAAAGAAAGTGCTCTAAAGGATATAACTGCATATATATTTAAGTGTATAAGATAGATAACCATATTATTGAGCTTTGTTGGATCATTGAATAAAACTGTTTGCAGTCTTACTGTTTGAAAGTCCCCTCTATATGCTTTAATTTTGTAACTTGAACAACTATTTCTATGATGACAATATGCAATTAACTAGTGATTTCCTGTTTATTTTTTCTGAAATTCT